ATTTGAACTCCGATAATGAAGTAGTCAAAAAAGTTATTGATCATAGTCATGGTGAAGAAAACGAAATATTGAACCGTCATATCGTGAGTAATCAATTAAAACGAAAAGCTATCGACGATATTTGAGAAAAACCAAGTAAAATCATTAGTCGCGAATTACTTACACATGATGTAGATACTTTAACTACATATGATTTACAATTGATCAGAAAAAATATGCATTATGCACGATCGTCTATTTTGCCCAAATTACCAAAAAATTTGGAGGAACTTCAAACTTCATTAGACAATATGAGCGATTTCTTATTAACCAATCGTAGTGAAAACTTTTTGTTGGTAAATGATAAGGAATCGAATATCTTATTAGTTTCTTGTAAAAGTAACTTAATGTTTTTAAGCAATGTTGATACAATTTTTGTTGACGGAACTTTCAAAAGTTGCCCAAGCCTTTTTACTCAAATCTTCACAGTTCATGGCTTACAAAATGATAAATATATACCACTATTATTTTTTCTACTTCCTGATAAGGAATTAAAAACCTACGAAAAGGCATTTTTCCACATTTTGTCTGAATGTAATAAAATCAATATTATATTTTCTCCAAAAAAAGTGTTTGCAGATTTTGAAAAAGCAATACATTTGGCTATTTTATCAGTTTGGCCTTCAATAACTCTGAAGGGATGCCGATTTCATTTGGGCCAAAGCTGGTATAGGAAAATACAATCAATTGGCTTAAGTTCTGAGTATAAAATTGACAGCGATTCAAGTAAATACTTGAAATATTTTTTTGGATTACCGTTTCTTCATCCCGACGAAGTGATCAACTGTTTCACAGACGATTTAATATCTATTAAACCGTTAGATGAAAAAATTGATATATTTACTGATTATATATTAGAAACATATATACTACCAGAATCTAGTTTCCCGCCTTCATTATGGGCAGAATACTCGGCTACTACTATGAGAACTACAAATAGTTGTGAAGCTTTTCATTCTAAGCTCAACGCGATGTTTTATAATGCACATCCAAATATTTTTCAATTTATTGATACTATGAAGAGGTTACAAACAGATATTTATATAAAACAACGTAGTATTCACTTAAACAACCACACAACATCGATAATTAAAAAAGAACAGTTTTTAAAACAAGCAATGGCAGATTTTGAATCAAAAAAAATTAGTAGGTTTAAATTCCTAAAAAAGTTATCTTTTAAATTTTTACCGGTACTATAACATTTTTATAAAATTAAAATTACAAAAAAAAAAAAAACAATACATTTTTCACCAATAACGATAATATTTTTTATACAGTTACAATTTTTTGACAAAATACAAAAACAAAAATAATATATTAAGCAAAAATAATATTTTTAACCTACCTGTAGTAGTAAACTAGTAACTATTACTACAGACAGTCCTAAGTCTGTATAAAAATGGGAAGGGAAATATTGTTTAGTTTTTATAATATACGAGACTCTATTGGTACCTATAAAAGTTAAAAAAATTCGGGACGCAATTAGTATGACCACCAAAAAAACCCGGGACGCAATTAGTATGACCTCCAAAAGAACCCGGGACGCAATTCGGAATGAATTTTTGTCGCGGGACGCAATTCGTATGCAGCCGGTTGATGAGAGATAGTGATGGGCAAATTTTTCTAAAAAATTGAATATCGATACGATATTTTAATATAAAATCAATACACTTTAATATTGAGCAATAAAATATCGATATTTGATATCGATATAAATTATTTTTACTAATTAAATAAAAAAAGTAAGTATACTGAATAATGTTGCTATTAAAGAATGGGTGTATACTTTTATATGATATAAAATAAATAAATAATACAATCTGTGAGAAAGAAAATTAATATATAAAATTGATTGCATCAAAATAAAAATAATTATTTTTATTTAAATTAATTTCAATTTTAATTTTCCGTCCTCATACAGAATTTCATTATAATTTTTAATTAAAAAAATAATAAATAAAACAAATTTGTAACAATATATTATTATTAAAACCAAATCAAAATTTAAAATATAAAATAAGACTGTGTAAAAGTATATAAATAACACTTAATATTTATAACATAATAATATTCTTTTGAGAAAAGAAAAATAACATCAAATTTGAGCATATAAAAATAATAAATATGTTTTTAAAGATCCCAATACATTGCTGGTATTGTTTGTAAAAAACACAGCTTAGAAATCCTACTTTCAGAAATACGGTTTCTTTTTTCCGTTATTAAGTTTCCAGCTTTTGAAAAAAGCTGTTCAGAAGGAACGGAAGATGAAACTGTTGATAGGTATTTTTGAGCTACAACATATAAATGAGGAAATACTGTTTTGTATGATTCCCAAACAGCTAAAACATCATTATTTATATTTATCAATGGTAAATATAAGTATTGTTTAAATTCTGCTTCCATGGTTGAATTAGAACTTTCAAGTATCTGTGATGATGCTAGATATTTAACCTTCTTGTGATAATTCCATATATCACTATTATTGTCCACTAAATTATCATTCACATTTTCTTCGGAATTTAACCTGAAATTAAAACATAATATACTAAATTAAAGAAAAAATTGCTAAATTTTATTATTTTTAAATACCTTGAGTTGGAAACGTAAACATTTTCAGCAGATATCATCTGTCTTATTTCTTTGTTAACTATTTGTAGCACATTTGATTTAGCCAAAAGTTTTTGGAAATGAATGGTTTTGAATCTTGGGTCTATTAATGTGGCGATAGATAACAATTGAATAAATTCGATTTTTTGGAAACGTTTTTCAATTTCTTTTTTAAGTTCAATTTGAAGTTTTTGATCTATTTCTGTAGTAGCTTCTAAATTTCCAACTTTATTTTCCAATGTGTGCACTAGAGGAATAACTTTACTAGAAGTTATGTATTCTTGTCCAGACACTTCTTTAGTAACTATTTCAAACGGCTGCAATAGATGCAATAAATCTTTTATATCATTTAATTCGGCTGTTGAAACCATTTCAGGACCATTAGGTATTTCGAGTAAAACAGAAGAGATTTTTGGAGCCAATATTTTGAAACGTTCCATCATATAATATGTTGTATTCCATCTTGTTGGTACTTCTTGCTTTAATTTTAAAATGCATCCTCCGTGTTGACATTTAGTCAACATGTCAGCAGCAGTAATACTATGCTTGAAAAATGTTACTATTTGTTTTACTTTTTTAATCAATAAAACTAATTTTGGAACATTTGAGATTGCCCTTTGAGGAATGAGATTAAGCATATGTGCAAAACAATGTAAGTGTCGTAATTCTCCAAAAAGATCATTACTTGCTTTTACTATGTTTGCACCACCATCCGTAACAACTCATACAACTTTAGAATTGGAAATATTCCAAGATTTTTGAACTTTGGTTATGGTTTCTCTTAAATAGTCAGCTGTGTGTCGCTCAGATAGCGTATGTACATCCAATACTACAGAAACTAATTGCAAATTTTGTATAAAATGCATAGTAACTCCTAAGTAGCTTTTACTATTTAAGATATCAGTCCAGGCGTCTGTTGTTAATGTAATATTTTGAACAGAATCTATAAGATTTCGGTATATCTCAGTAATCATATCATACTTATCATCTAACATCCTGGTTATACTTCTTCTGCTAGGTAACTTGAATAATGGAGTAGCAACTTTTGAGTAAGCTTGAAAACCTTCTTTTTCTGTTATATTAAGAGGTAGACCATCTTTGGCAATCATGAAAACTAGTGCATTAGAAAGTTTTGAATACTTAGTACCTCCTTCTGAAATTAATTTATAAAACACATAATTATTTTATGTTACTTAAATTTGGTTCTTTAACTTTGTATAAAGAACTAAAATAGCAATATAATATTTAAAATATCAATAATTTTACTAAATATATATAAAAATATATTATAAGAAAAAAAAAATACATTAAAAACTTATATTTTTTTACTTACGCTAATTTCTCATCTTAAACAACTGGTAATATTCATACAAAAAAATTGCAAATTTACTAAGAATTTGTTATAGGCTTCAGTTCCTTTATCTGAATTTACTTCACCTGGGCTAACACACACTTCATTTTCTGCACCACCCAGCAAAAAAAAAAAAAGACCATTCCTGCATCACACGATCTTCTTATTAAAGCTACGCGGTATTTAGAAGCTGAAGACGATGAGTTCCTAACATTGGCGAAGGGTTACGCGGTTAAATTAAAAAAACTCAGTTCACAACAGCTCATGTTTGCTGATAAAGTTATCAATGAAACATTGCTTGATGGTCAAATGGGACTTTTGAACAGACGCAGCTATGTGGTTTACTCATCGGAGCTTCCGCCAACTACAACACAATCGCATTCATGGTATCAATCTACACCCAACTCTTTTTCAAATCCATCTACAACCAACTCCTCTTCAGATTCATCTACATCCAACTCGTCTTTTGCAGATACTCAGACGGTAAAGAGCGTATTCGAAGGATTCAGCTATATAAATGAAGATGATTTTTGATAAACATACACTATTGTAAAACTTATATTATATAATACATATATATCTATATATATATATTTAGCTACTAATTTTGATGAACTTAAATGTTTTTTTAATAAATATATTCATCAACTTATTCATTTTTTTCTTTTGCATAAATCAAATGGTTACAATTATCCAATTACAAAATAAAAATCCCCAGGAAACACACTTTTTTTAAGAAAAGGACTGCTGATCTAAAATATAATTTTTTGATATTTAGAACCTTAAAGTCTTCTTATAGTTGTTTTGTATG